TTTTTTTTAAGGATACGAACAGTTGATTTTAATATTGATTGTTATTATTAACAAAATTGTCCAGCTAGAATTCTAAATGATAGATTAGAATTTATTTCTTCGGCTTTTTATACTGCCATGAAGGGACTTGGTTTACAATCTATTCCACATCTCTATCCTTTACACTACTACTATCCCATACTTTCGCCTAAACACATTACACATTCTCCTTTTCCTTGATTATTCAACATTATTTCTTATTTACAACTGCTATTACAACTTCTCCTAACATCTAGCTCTATTTAACATCACTACACTATCAATTTGCATTTATTTTACATTCCTACTTATGTTTACATCCTAAACTTATCTTCGATCCTATTATACCTTAACATAATTACATCCTCCTTTACATTTTGTTTTACATTTTGTTTTTATTTTTCATTTGACAATTTTACATACCATCATATTTATACTTGCCTTTAACCTTATCCATATCTGTTATCTATTGCCAATCTAATCTAATCTAATCTAATCTTAATCTTACTCTGCTCTAACCTAATTCGTTCTTACTCTCTTCCTTATTTCTCTCTTTACATAATCTCTTTAAAATCTTTCACCTTTGATCTTGTCTAATTTTTCATTACAAATCTTATTATATACTTCCTCTTTCCTACAGTCTAATTCCACCCACCAATTCTTAGCTTTCTCACACTTTTCTACATGATGTTTCAAGCAATCTGTACAAAGTACATAACTTTTGTTTCCTTCTCCCATCCAATACTTGTTGACCAATTAGAATTCTAAATTATAGTTAAAATATAAAGACTGCGGTATTGCAGTGCTTTCTGCTGGTTTTAGCTAATTTTTTTGTATTTAGATAATTTTAATTATGATTACAACACCATTCTTTCGGTGATCCTAATGAAACAACATATAAAAGAGACTATTTACATCGCTCTAATAAAATTAATTAATTCGTTAATTCCCAACATGTCTATAATTTTTAGCATATGACACATCCTGTGTAGTATTTTAATTTTAATAATTATTTACACTCAAAAAATGTTTCGCTGGTCCTAGCTAGAATTTTAAATATGATAAAATGTATTGCTCTTTTTTGTATCTGCTAGAAAATTGTCTGTCGCATGTAGAATTTGTAGCAGCAACATTTTAACAATATATGCAGAAAAATTTAGGTCTCATAACTAAATCACATAGTCACTTTTAGAAAAGAAATGACTGACTATTATCTGACTGAGCGTCATAGAGAGACTTTCTCGCTAAATTTAACAAATGGTTCACTATATAAATCCTGTCTCTATCATTTATATCGATTAGATACAAAATATACGCGACATCACAGTGTTGGTCATTTATTCGCTTTAACTAATTTTTCGTATTTAGATAATTTTTATGACTACAACATCATTTTTTTTATTCTATTAATGACATAAAAGATAAAAGGGACTGTATTTACGTCACTCTAATGAGACAACTCATTAATTCCCAACATATCTCTAATTTTTAACACGTATGTAGTATTTTAAAGTTTAATAATTATTTGAACAGTATGACTCGAATCATTATCTTTCAACATGAAAATGCATTTTATGCTATGGAAAGAAAATTTATCCAAATATTATATAATAGTGTATCGAGTGTATATATTATTGAATTTAAGACCAATTCTGTTTAGATTGCATTCGATTACGTAAGCACAACTCTATCGAATTAAGTTACATATTCGTAAGCGGTAATACGAGGAGGCCGTCGATCGATCCTTTAATAATATTCCCTCTACGTTGAGTAGAGAAATCTGATTACACGAGTAAATTGAATATGTTTAGGTTCGGCCCACTCGTTTGGAGAAGCAGCAAGGAGAGGAAAAAGGGCAATAAAGCCGCCCGAAACGCCAAGTGCAACAGCGGAGACAGCGGTATACAGATCGAGGTAAGCAAGCGAAAGAGAGAGAGAGAGACACGTTCGTGTCTTTCGAAAGACAAGTTTCAGTGGAAGCTCAGGAGACGTTCGAATGATGTCTAAGAGCGTTTGAAAGATTGAAATGCTTTCTGGATGAAATGAGAGAGAGAGAGAGAGAGAGAGAGAGAGAGAGAGAGAGAGAGAGAGAGAGAGAGAGAGAGAGAGAGAGAGAGAGAGAGTAGAGTAGTAGTA